TACTATATATATATATATATATATATATATATATATATATATATACACATTTCAATGCTAGTATAGGTTTATACATTTCAATACAGTATAGGGTACAAATATTAAGTTAGAACGCCCAACATTGAATCACAGATAATATCACAACAGCCTTAAAATAACAAACCAAACAGTTGCAGAAATATTTTCATGGCAGCCATTACGACCAAATCAGCCCTGATCGGAGGCCTTACAAATAAGTACGTTATGCCGAGTCTTGGTCGATATTGATTTCGGCGGGGATTTTGCGGTATCTCCGGTGTGCAAGCTGGGAAATCCATCTCGCTCAATAACCATCATGAACGCTCAGGGACCCGACAGACAGTCTTAATATGTACAAGTAGAGCTGTGTACCTAAACAAATTTTAGGTACAGGTACAGGTACACAGGTTTAGGTACAGGTCCGGACCTGAACCTGTACCTGAACAATTCGACCAATTTATATGCTCTTCTGAACTCCTTCAATAACAAAAAAACATAAATAAACTTGATAGTTAAGGTTTATTCTTTGTTTATGGCGAATGCTCAGATAAAATATAGGCAAAACTAAGTTGTTTTTGTTTTCATGAACACACTGTCCTTACACAGGGACCCATTGTGGACCAGCTATTTACACATTTGAGGTCACAAATAGGCATAAAATTGGTGTGAAATTGTTTAGGTACAGTACCGGTACTGAGGGATTAGGTATTTTGGACCTGTACCTAATCAATTTTTCCGGTACAGTATCGGTACTGCGTACCGGTACACAGCTCTATGTACAAGTGATGAGTTCTGATAGCCTTGCCTTTTCAAAATCAATAAGTAAATAGTGTGCTTTGTTTTCAGAACATAAGGCCACACCAATTTAATTTCTTGGTTTAACGGATTTTTCTAGAAAAATAATGGAGCGGGCGGGCGAAAAAAAAAATAAATAAAAACAAGCCTAGGCATCGTATTATGGCCCAAAATGGTACGATAGGAGCCATGAAGTCAACACACCAGGCTGGTTCAAAATTTAAACAATGAATTTTGAACTTTTAATGATACCACTGCATTGGAAGATGGAATAACTAACAACTAGGAAGAAAAGGACTGTTTTCAACTGTTCAGGGCAAAATATAAGCATTTTGCAGTTGATTCTGAATTTTTATTTTCAAATCAGAAAAAAACGAAGCGGGCGAATCCCACCAAGTAACCAAGAAATTAAATTGGTGTGGCCTAAGATTGATTTGTAAATTGTAGGCTTGCGTGAATGTCAACATGTACCGGCATATACAGTATGCCGCCATGTGTGTGGTAACTGTAAAATGTGACCATCAATTTTGTGGTTTATTCCACACTGGATGCTGAACACTTAAGTGGTTTCTTGGACGATAAACCTATTTTGCAACATGAAAATGGATTTTTAGAGCATACACAAATGTTTCATGAGCATTATAGCAGTTTTACAAACATTTCAACTACATCATTAACCTGTCTACTAGCCTTTCTATTAGTCAGGTTAATGTAGTTGTATCCAGTCTTTGATTATACTGCTGTGGAGGTCCCTAACACAGGGGTGGGCAGCAGTCAGCTAGTCAATGTTTTGTAGTCTTCTAGCACCATGTTTTCAATCCACTCTATCAAGCAAGTCCACACTGGCTTTAGGCTGCACTCTCATAATGTCCTTCCTGACACACTCCCCCCAGGATTTTTTTTTAGGTCCACACTGACATCTGTTGCCTCAGCTACAGTTCAGTGAGTTTTCTAAGTGTTTAAATTTTCCATGATGTTTCTCCTTCACAGGCCCAGCTAGTAGACCTGCGTTCAGACCTGTGTGAAGTCCGTGCCACCAAGTCTATCCTAGAGAAGGAGCTACACAACCAGCTGCTTCAGCTGCATGCTGTACAGCTGCAGCTGCACTCCAAGTCAGGTGTCCACGTCGACTCGGACGCCATCAAGGCCAAACTGGTGAGGAGTGGGCCACAAAGTTAGCCTGGGTGCCATCCATTTTGTAGCAGGGCTTCTTTCATGATCACTTGCTAACCCATACAAAAGGATGGCACCCAGGCTACTACAAAGTACTGTAAATTATGAATAAATGTCAGTGGCTTTATTTTCGTTACAATACAATTGGCACCCAGGCTACAATGTAAGTTGTAAATTGTGAAAAATTAGCGGTAGTTTTATTTTCGTTACTAAAAGAATGGCACCCAGGCAACAAAGACTACTATAAACGGTGAAACATTAGCAGACTGGTTTTATTTTCATGTTTTTTTGTAGTGACTTTTCCACTGAATTCCTAATACAGCTAGCAATTGCTTCCTTGTATGCTATGACTACTGTACTACCACAAATTCGAAATACTGTGAAAACTAATCCGAAGGCTATTGGACACTCCTCTGGCCAATGCACACTCCCTTGCCACTGTATGATCTGCTTGGAGATTATATGAAAACCCCCTTGAAATTGCAAAAGTTTCATGATGTACAGTAGTAGAGAATGTTCCCATGAGACCATTCAAATGTTGTCAAGCAAATTTATCATGGTTGGCTTCCAAGGCTGTGTATAAATAATGCAGTATCATGTAAAATACATGTGCTATAATAGCATTAATAGTATAACTGTATCATGTAAAAGCTTCCACTTCCAATTACTTATGATGAATATCACATGGACTGTTCCATTTTAACATCTCGAAGGGGGTAATCAGAAACATAACATTTAGCCTCTTGTTTTCTTAACAATTCTCAGCATATTGAATTGTTTTCCAATTTTTGCCTAAAGAGTTTTGTAGCTGTCCTTCTTTTCTTGCTCACCTGGGAATTCGAGTAAAATGAAAAGCTCAAAGAAGTGTAGATTTTACGAGGCTGGCAAGGCATTCAGACGGAATACCTACTTCCTGTAGACACAATTTCCAAATGCTGCCAGTAAAAGGGAGAACCATCGACCTGGACAAAACTCTGACCTTCAAAATTCTCTAATTTGACCTTGCAGTTCCATGATATTCAGGAGGAGGTTCAGAGGAAGTCAGCTGATCGGGCTGACCAATCAGACGCTCTGCTGTTTTTGGCCAGCCTGGTGGGTGTGGCCTTAAAGTAGAGGTGAAAGGTTAAAGGGTGAAGGTCACATCTTCATATGAAGTTGTAAATCAAGGATGTCTTATTTCTTGGGTTCTGTATCATCTAATTCCACCAAATAAGCTTAAGCTTGCCAGCCTTCTAAAATCTTCACTTGTATCTAGTTACTTCCGGGTACAGAAGTATTGTTTTGGGTGGATCAGCGGTGGGTTTGTGTGTGTATCAGAGTAGGTTGACAGCATGTGGGTAGAAGATTGACAGGCAGAATGACAGGAGCTCAAGAGGTAAGAGACAGGAAATGGGGTGAACGTAAAGGTCTCAGAAGGCCAGCAGGAATATGGTGGTTGACAGGGGAATTCAGGAATGTTTGAAATCTCTGATTTCTGTTTTCCATTGGAAGTTTTCCATGAAAAATTCCCAAATACAACATTTAGTGCTTCATACTTTTTCTGTATGTGGTCTACATATATCCATTAATCTTTTCCTGCTCCCTCTGAACAATTTTGTTGTGACAAACATTGGTTCATCGAAAAAACAGTTACTCAGGATTCATGTCATCATATCCAGTTGCCTGAGTAACTGTTTTTGGCGTATCTTATAACCTTTACCGACAAAACATTGATTCAGGTGGTATTAACTTTTATGCTTACAGGAAAGTGAGATGGAGCAGTTTAAGAATGATGCGATGAAGGAGGCTAACCTGGAGGCAGAAGTGAAGGAGCTTCGGAAGGAGAACATCGAGCTACGCCAACAGATCCATGCTCTACAGTCCGAGGTCTACGGTGCAAGGCTCGCTGCCAAGTACCTGGATAAGGAACTGGCTGGCAGGTGGGTGCTGTAGGATTTTCCTAGAACTATCGCAGAGTAGAACGGGCTGCCACCATGTACAGTAGGGGCATGATCACTGGATAGCTTCAAGCAACACTTACAGTTAGATATACAAAGGTTGGATGTAACAAGTCAGTATAATATAGCCAGCTGCCAAGTACCTGGACAAGGAACTGGCTGGCAGGTGGGTGTTGCAGTACCATGTCCTGCCACTAGGGTGCATGAGCTTTTAAAATGTCTGTCTGATCATGAGATTTTTCAGTCATTTAGGCCTGAAAGACATGCTGAGATTATATAGTTAGTACATCTATAAACACAATAACAGGAATGATTTCAACTGATACACCCAATTTACTACGGTAAAAGCATAGAAGCTTTCAGACGGCATCCACCATCTTTCTTCAAGTACTGACTAGGGTAGTCACTTGACCAAGACGTTAAAAGGGCAACACAGGTCAGATGACTGGATGAGGGTGTTGACCTTTTAACTGAAATCTTCCATGCTTTTACCGTGTATCGTGTATTGGTGCGTCGGTTTAAATCCTTACAGTTATTATGGACTCTCCACAACAGTTTAATTAACCTTTGTCCAAAAACACCTTTTCCAACGACCTCTGTTCCCCCAGAATCCAGCAGATCCAGTTGCTTGGCCGTGACATGAAGGGTGCTGAACACGACAAACTGTGGAACCAGCTGATTTCTATTTGTAGTATAATGCAAGTAATTTTTAGTCCTCCAAACTTACGTATAAACACCTTTTCCACTGTTTTCTCTTCTTGCAGAATCCAGCAGATCCAGTTGCTTGGCCGTGACATGAAGGGTGCGGAACACGACAAACTGTGGAACCAGCTGGAGGCAGAGATTCACCTCCACAGGCACAAGACGGTTATCCGGGCCTGCCGCGGCCGACACAGCCCGCTACGCCAGCTACCAGCACCGCCTGGGCATGTGAGTCAGGATATACATACCTGTACTTGTTGAGGTCCTCTCATCTTCTCATGAGTAGCCTGCGTCAAGCTAGTAGTCTTCATCTTAAGTTGTCCAGAAGGCCAGAGAAGTCAAAAACTTCACCTGCACCGGACAAATTTTTCCCACACCACTCAGAATTTAGGAAGTATGGATCATAGTAAATACTGTTCAAAAACCATTGCCATTATTTCTTAATATACTTAATAGGTGGCAACAGTCAATATAGCAAAACACTACATAAACATGATTGAATGTACATATGAACCCAGTACAGGGCTAAGTAAAGGTTCAGGTAGATATCAGAAATACCTGCACAGCTCCAAATTTACCTGCACATGGATGGAAGAACCCAAAGAAGTATTAAAAAATGACAGGACAGCATACTTAAGATATCCAGTGCTGTTTTATCCCCAGGACCCACAGCACCTGCGGCGTACCCAGGGCATCGGAGACGTCAGGACCATCAAACTCATGAAGGAACCGGAGGAGGGACTCGGGATATCCATCACTGTAAGTACTGAACACCCCTAGGATGGAATGGTAGGGTCTATTTTTCACAAAACTTACCCTCGCCATTGTGAATTGTCAGACTGTTACGTTTTACTTATTGGGGTGTTTATTGTGAAATTTATTTAACCCAAGAATGGATTAGTAGGAAATCCTCTCACTTAAGAATATGCTTTTGTAGAGATGTACTTTCCTTTATTTTTACACATACATACATACATAAATGTATCTCAATTTGTAAACAAGTCTCACTTTTTCCTGCCTGTTATACTTCAAGAAATTATGATATAGCACATTGGCAGGACATGTACTGTACCGGCACAAAACCCACATTTTTTTGGTTTTCGTTGGATGTTTGGTCAACGTTGCATCAGAATTTTGCCTGAATTTTGAGACATTCAGCAGGAGCGCTATGCACAATACATCACGGGTGCAGTACATTCTGCCGACGTGCTGTATGAGACTGGTCTAAAAACCTAGGAGACCTACAACCTAGGAAAGGAATGACCCGAACTTGACCTTGGTTGTACAGGGCGGCAGAGAACACGGTGTCCCCATCCTGATATCAGAGATCCACGAGGGACAGCCGGCAGAGCGCTGCAGGAACCTGTTCGTGGGAGATGCCATTATCGCCGTCAACGGGGTGGACCTCAGGAACGCTAAACACCAGGAGGCTGTCGGCATCCTCTCACAACAGGTAATACAGTAGGGCTTTCAGCAAAAAATGTTCTCTTTTACAAAAGACACAGACAGAGCACTGTATTTAATGGCTTTTTAGTGCCTTCCCGCTCCTGCGGTGCAGTATGTACCATTTTTAAGGTCTATGGTAAGACAACTTGGAGACGTGCTACACTCCATGGAGCATGCAGTGTGGTGCTGAGTGAGTGAGAGAGAGTGAGTGAGTGAGAGTGAGTGAGTGAGGTATGACTCGGCTGGGGATCAAACTCACAACCTACTGAATGCAAGGAGAACACTCTTGGCTGTTGCATCGGTGTACTCACCATTATAGCATATCAGAATTTTACAGTTAACAGTATGCATACATTTGTTAAACATTTTTTGGAGGTTTAGATTTCATATGTATAGCTATAAACTCTTACAAAGGCGTTTAGAATCATCAAGTCTAGCTTACACTATTGATTATTGAATTCATTCAGTGTTATCACATGTCCATGACTGTAACCCCCCTGCCCCCCTCCCCAGACTGGAGAGATCACCCTGGAGGTGGTGTTTGTTGCACCTGACATCGACTCTGACGACGAGAATGAAGAATACGTGGACGAAAATGGATTTAGGTAGGTCTGATTTATTGTACTGTAATTCTAAAATAAGAACCATTACTTGGATATTGCTGACTTATCGTGAATAGCACAGAAAGATTTGTTGGGCTATTTTAAGCTTCTGCCTTTTCACAATATACGAGATGATTTTTGAGATGCTTGCATAATGAGGTTACCATGGCTGTACTTAATCTACATGTTTTATGTAACTTAAGTCATAAGTCTTCATGACATCTGCAACTTATGCTACAATGATGCGTATGAATGTTACATATGCGTAACACACCTAACAGTGTCTCAGTTGTTCGCATGTTGCCAGACTATGCACCATAATTCTTTACGAAAAGCTTGTTTTTTCTGCGGTCATTTTGCATCATTCATCCTCGAAGATTTTCAGGTGGCTTTTGTAAGAAACTTAACAACCTAACTTGTAAAAGAATATTTCACCAAATTAGAATTATTGGAACAAGTTAAGTCTTAAGCCACTTGAGAAGTACCATTTTTCTAATCATGCAATAAGAAATGAAAAGAATCATTATACAAGCACCTGCATGAAAAGTTTATGCATGAGGTTACTGCAATATAAGGATTCATAACACTTTTTCCAAGAAATGTAAAAAAATATTGTTGTCAATGACACCAGAAGTAGCCTGAAACAAACCAGTACAGAAAAAAAAACATCTTCAATTGGATCAACCAAGCAAAAAATAAGCTTACAAAGAACTATGGGACATAGTCTGAATCCAAATATTTCCCATTAAACCTTGCTGCTGGATGTGGGAATAGAACCCATGACCTGCCATCCTTGGATGAGGCTGGGTAGGTGGCAGTCATATCGGTGTACATCTCAATTTCACAACAGTTACTGCTGACTTTCTCTCTTTTTCTATCCTGCTGTCAATCTCATAATAAGTGGTGGAGGAGACAGTATTTCTGTCATATGGTGCAAGCATAAAATGTTCCTCTACATGATAAAGAAGTGGATTGTAAAATGTGATGCATCCAAATATTCTGAGGAAAAATCAAGGCTAGAAAAACCTTTTGTAAAGCTGCACTCTCAGTCCTTCTTGTCTCATTACACAAGGTGAACATTTGCTATGCAAAACTAGAAATTGCACCACTGAACAACAAACCATTTGTTAAGACTATTCACGAAAGCAGCCACATAAAGTTTGTAAGAATCTATGAGATGTTTTAAAGTAGGAGAACATGTAACCAACAAAAGTAGAATGCTCTTTGATGTACTGTTCTTGTAGGTACCGACTCTACAGAGATACGGGAGAGGAAGAAGAAAACCCGCCCCCTCAGATGAACGGCACCATGTCCAGCCCCTCTACCCCCCAGCGAACCCCCACAACTGAAGAGGGGGGACCCCCTCCAAGCACTAGCTCCCAGCATGCACCAGGAGAGCCATCCCACAATGCCGAGCCTCCATCCCAACCCAACGCTGGCGCCGCAACGGAACAGCCATCCCAGAATGCAACAGGAGATGCAGCGACACGGGCGCCGAAGACGGGGAAATTCAAACTCCCGACGAACATCCACAACTACATTCCGCCACCGCAGACGGTAGAGAACCCTCGCAGCAGCCAGGCGGTGCCTGGTCTCGCGCCCGGGGTGCAGAACTCGGGACAACAGACAGGGGGAGCAGCTTTACAAACTCTCAGCGTGGGGTCATTACAGGCCAACGCCGTGCAACAAGAGGTCATGGGTCAACAAGACAGAGAGTTGTTCCACCCCTCATAGGTGTGTTTAAAGTTAAACAGGGAGGGTACAGCTCAGTTCTAGAAAAAAATCATAAAGGGGAAAACATAAGAAATCTAAAATATTAAGGTGACTAGTTGCACAAGGAAGTTGTTACTCAAGCAACTGGATAGGTTTTGAAAACTGTCAGGTGTTTTCATCAGTGGCTAACTGGATCTACGTAAAACTTATGACAGTTTTCAAAACCTATCCAGTTGCTTGAGTAACAATTTCCTTGTGTATCTCATTACCTGGATGTCCAACCTTTATTGAGGTGACTAGATCGGTGTTTTTATCAATTTAACCTTAACCCTGCTATTCATGTGTAGTAGCCATCCAGCACCAGATTGTATTGGTTTTTGGATTAGGCAGCAGGGAGAAGGTTAATACATGGAAACTTGAATTACAAAGTACAACATGCTGACCTGTGGTTTCAACAATCTCCAAGCAGATCCTAGGGTGGCAAAAGACAGTATCAATACCTCTCTGGCCAATGGATACTTTCTGGCCAGTTTGATACTGTCTTTTGCCACCCTAGGATCTGCTTGGAGATTATGGTTTCAACAAAACCCTTCGCCTACTTTTTCTAGAACGTCCTAAATTTAACTGTTCTATATTGAGATTTCTCTACAGTTGGTGAAATATATACCTTGGCTTGAGCAAAGTTAGAGGGTTGAATGTGCCATGCACTGTTAATGCAGGAAATAAACTCTACAATCATCTTAACTTTGTGTATAGATAATGGAATTATAAAACATGAAGAGCCATGACTGGTGTACATGTCATAAAAGTTCCCAAATTTTACCTATTTTAACTTGTTCAATTATGACTGTAATTGAAATATTGTTATATATTATGATGAGAGTAAAAAGATCTGGTGTATCTGAAAAGATGAGAATTTATGATTATCCAAGAATAATGTTACTTGATGACACAAAAAAACAAGGTGACAGGGTCAAATTGTAATGCTTCTTGGCTGTACTATAATATTACACATTGATTCCTAGCTAGACTTGGCTTTGTAATATTTTCATAAAGTGCTGTACATGTATATCAATTGATGATTAGTATCAAAATGAATTGGTAACTTAATTTGTATAATACAGTACTAGTACTTAACTGCTTGTGCCATGCCTAAAATCATGCTAAATTTGGTGCCACTCTACAAAGACACAGACAAACACACAAATACACTGCTGTGCTGTAGTCAGTGTTGTATTTCAGCTACCTTTACAGCTAGAATAACTTTGTTGTCTAGAAAGCTTTCTTAAGGCCACACCAATTTAATTTGTTAGTTCTCGGATTCGCCTCTTTTTTTTTTTTCCCAGTCGCTTCATATTTTTTCTGGAAAAATCCGAGAACCAACAAATTAAATTGGTGTGGCCTAAGGCTTTTATAAACTCAGTCTGACATTCTACAAGAATCATAAACAATATTGGAATGAAAGCTACACATACATGTCATGCAGTTATGTATTTGTAAGCAAACAAGTCTTGTATTTGGGGGAAGCATGTAATTTCGGTGAAGTCAAACTTGGGCTAGTGATGTGACAAAAACATACAGTTGTACAATGTTAACTAGACACTATCTTACACAGGGGAAAACAAGGATCATTGTTCATTACAATTTACAATTTCATACAGTAACACAGTTAATGCGCCAATGTAATACTTATTGGAGGAGGCCTGCATATGGATTCATAGACAAAACTACAACATTTTCAAACACTTGCATGGATTGAACCAAGGTCTCTGAATAATGTCCTTGATTGAACTGACTTGTGGCCAGGGCAATGACGTGTTGCAATTTTTCAAAGTGGGGGTATTGCTACATTTCAAAGTGGGGATATTGCTACATTTCAAAGTGAGGGCATTGCTACATTTCAAAGTGGGGGTATTGCTACATTTCAAAGTGGGGGTATTGCTACATTTCAAAGTGGGGGTATTGCTACATTTCAAAGTGGGGATATTGCTACATTTCAAAGTGGGGGTATTGCTACATTTCAAACTGGGAGTATTGTTACATTTCAAAGTGGGGGTATTGCTACATTTCAAAGTGGGGGCATTGCTACATTTCAAAGTGGGGGTATTGCTACATTTCAAAGTGGGGGTATTGCTACATTATGATATATAAAGGTATAGGGTGGATGGTGTGATTCCAAGTCCCAATCTCTGCTGTTATTATGTACATTCCAGTACAGTATGTGTACAGTGTTGAATACATGTTCTAGATAGGAGTATGTACATGTTGCAGACTGTTGGTGCCTTGCCCATACTCAGCGCGCTTTTGTATAGGTCTGAACAAGAAGCCAGGAATATAATACATGGATGGTTTGTACATTTGTGAAATAGGTGGTGTGCATTTTATAATATGGAAAATTCAAGTCAGATTAAACCTCACTTAAACTAAGTCTACATCAGTACATGTTCATTACTGTAATTTTACACTGTTTCTTCATCCTTTCATCTATCATGATAATTGGAGATAGATGTTGAAGTAATGCTCTAAAGAGAAGCAGTGGAAGTTTTGGGTGGTGCTTTGAAGCTTGTAGAAAATCTGTTTCACAAGAATTAAAATGTTGTTAAGTCTTGATCAAAAGTTTGTAAACATAAAGTAAAGAACAGAAGAATTGTTCTTCTTGATTGTGTAATTGGCTTTAATATACCAGAGTATGCTGGCTCTACATCTTTGTATAGTTGTCGGGAGCATCATGTAATATTAAAATCAAACACTGAATTATTGTCAAACACTGAATTATTGTACCATTTTCATTGATGAATGTTGATTTTCATGTACATGTAATACAATAGTTGTATAGACATGCTGGTTTTATATGTATTCATAGGATCATCTGTTAATTACCTATGCATATTGTCTCAGTAGTAAATACACCCTAAATGTGTAATAGTCATGAATATTAAGATATTATGTAATAGGGTAGCTGCTGTACTTTTATTGAAAATACCAATAAGTTCGGAAAAAGACAATATTATGATTATCACCTATGGTAGAAATATTCAAACAGATACTAGTATATTATTTCATTGTGATATTTAAAGTTGGTTAATTCATAATTTTTGACTATTTGCTGGCTTTAAGGATATGGGTAACCAGGCTATGTAATATATGGATACTGTAAAATTGAATGCCATTGCTTTTGTACTGTACATGTTAGCACTTGTATACTACATGGTCACTTTATGGGCAACACAGAGCAAATTAAAACTGCAGTATTTGTGTGAGGAATCAACATGGTTTTAGGTCATCTTTCTGCTGTTCTGGGTATGGAAGTATTGTTTTGGGTGGTTATCTGTTGGCTTGTGTGTATTGTTTCAGTGTAGGTGACAAGTGACATCTTCCACAACATACACTACATTTTTTTTTCCAAAGAGAAGATATATGTAAAGCTGATTGAAACCACTATGACAAAAAAATTGTGGATAATATCTTTATTTAACTAACACTGTCATTACACATGTACTCGAGCATACTATGCATCGTGAGTCCATAGTACCAATCTTTAATTGGTACAAAATTGCCCTGTAAGACATTTTTTTCAGTTTTTTTAGAAGATCCACATGTGTAGATCCCCCACATGAATGTGCCACAAGACACAATAAAGTAAACCACCACTGGACCAAGGAGCATTAGTATAAACCCTCCATCACATTTGGTCCTATATCATAAATATTTATGCTTCCATACGCAGATATTTCTACCACTACACATGGCATTCATATTTACACAAATAAGCTTCAATTAAAGTTCATTTAAGTTTGCAGGACTTCATAGTAGGAAAGGAATGTCTTTGTGTCACATAACTGCTAAACCACCTTTAGGCGTAACACACTAGTTTTCTACAGTACATGTAAGTACAAGCTGTGTAAGACCGGACTGTAAGGTTTGATCCACTCAGCTTGTGACTGAAACAATCATAGTAATTCAAAAAGGATGTCATGATCGAGTGAAGAGTTTGTAATCAGGGCTTACCACGAAAATTGCAAACATAAATCCATCACAAATATTTCATGATACACAGTACAGTATTAACATGGCTACTGTGAGTTGACTAGACAGATGTGTAGAAAGTTGTCCGGGTAACTGAAGTGTTCACTCAACCACTGTACGGGGGTCTCCATGGGGGGCTCCACACCTTGGATAACTACCTTCCACCTCCCCGATGCATCCTCTGCTGAAACAGAAAGTAACAAGAAATCAGAGATTTCAGACTTCTGGGAAGTGTTTTAGGTTGTTGTAACTGTATTGTATGATGAGGAATCGATAACACATTATTACACATTCCTGGCAACCTCATACCACTTCCTACCACCAAGGGCATACCAGGTCACAACCCTGTCAATCAACTGAAACCCAATCTCCACCCACTTCTATGGACAAGATACATATTATTATATGTACATAAAAACTCTCTATATAAAAACTATACCAGCATAAAGAGTAAGAAAAAAATCAGGCAACAAAATCTTTCAACTTGTTAGAGAAGATTTTGGTTTCAAACAAGTTCGAAGAAATTGAAAGGTTTTGTTGCCTGACTTAGTTTTAGTGCTGGTATCATATTTCTTCAGTATAGTATGACATTTTTCTTCATGATTTGGTTTCTTGTGACAACATTTTTACCTTCAGTGTTAAAAACTTGGGGTGCGACCTCTCGCACCAGGTCTCCCAGAAGCCTCTGCTCGCCCTCGTCTGTGATTGGTCGGAAGAGCCGCTGTACGCACGGCTTGTCGGGCTGGTACAGGCGGAACGGCAGGTGTTTGAAGCAGTTCTCCTCCCCGTGCTCCATCAGCCGACGGTTGATGGCCCAGAACTGGTCAAACTTGTCTGAAAAGTACATTGTAGAAAGAAATTGTGATTTAGAGAAAAATATGCAATTTTAAGAAGGGGCATGCAGAGAACACATTCATCTTTTTTCAAGCTACGCTCATTGTTGAAACCTTTGTAGTGACTTTTTAAGGTGGCCCCTCCATTGCAAATCCATGACACTGCAAATACTTTTTGTCTCCTTTATATGACTACTCTGCAACAGAATTGTGTTTGAGGATAGCCCTTGAGGAGAGAGAGCAGAGGACCTTCCTGGTGATAGTGGTTCAAACCTTGCAGTACAGTCTTACACAGCTTGTCCTTACAGTACAAAACTGGTGTGTTATGCCTTGAGGTGGTTTACTTGTTTTACAAAACAAGTTTCCCGACCATTTAACTTTTGCAGTGATTCCATTTTCATGGTGACCCTTCCACATTGGTTGTTTACCAGTTGTGCAAAACAAACAAATAAACAAACCAACCATTCTGCAGGCCCATCCACAGCTGTTTGTGGTCCTTTTTCTGCATGCCGTTGATGACCTGACCGCGGTGCTTCAGCGTGTCAGCCTCCTTCACAGACGACATGAAGTGAGACTCCACCGCATCCTTACCCGGACAGTGCAGGAGCTCATCCTCTGGGAATTTCTGGGGAAACAAAAAAGTTAACGTTTCTAGCCTGTATATAGTGGAGTGGATTCATTCTTCAAGCTAACTGACATCTAGCAAACTGCAGTCGCCCTTCAGATATCTGGAGCTGCATAGTTCCTGTTTAGAACTTTTATTCAGCCTGTCATTTTACTACATACAACATCTCTTGACTGTCTTACACAATTTCTCATTGTCAAAGGCTGGTTGAGTCTCCTCCCTGGCTATACACCTCTAACTGGAGAGACTCAATCCGAGAACTACCGGTACCTTGAGCTTAATATATCAGACTGTTTTGAATATCAACTGAGACAGAGTACAAGGAAACTATTTAAGGTTTCTACAGACATTCACAATATTGAAACTTAATCTCATCATGCAAAGTTTCCACATACATGTAGTACAGAAGAACTAACGTTAGTCCACACATTCACTCACCTGGAAATGGACCACAAGGCTCCATGGTAACATAGTACTGGAGGCAAACAGATCAAACAGGACTCCTATAGGGTAGTGCCTGCAGGGGGAGAGAAGGATAATTATACATCAAAGACAAATATGACAGACTTCATTCATCAAAGACTTCATAATGGTTAGCTAGAGAGAGAGAGAGTTACAACTTTAGTTCCAACACAAGTTCTTGCCTAGAGCTTTTGATCAGTCACTCTGATCTTCGTCAATAGACTGACCCATTGAGACAAGTTTGAACTTTAAACATGTAAGTTGTAACTTCCAACACTGATGAACCTTAATGATGAATCTTGAATTGTTGACATGACAGTGGCTTTCTAACAAGTGTGTCTAACAGTAAGATTAACCTACACGTACACTGTAAGACTGAGGAATACACTCACCATTTGAGAGGTTGTCCCTCATACTCCAGCCACATCTCCTCCCCCTGTGAGTTAGCCGTATACTTCAGGAAGTATCTCTGCACCTTGTCTGCCACCAGGGGGAAGTATGACTGTCTGGGCACCAGCAGCTGGCAACAAACATTCAAATAAGAATGTTTAGCATGTCTAGCCTGGGTGCCATCCATTTTGTAACAGCAACCCCAAAGATTTTTTAGGGGTTGCCTTTACAAATCAGATGGCACCCAGGCTATAGCATGTCAGGCTCTAGTTCTATTTAATTTCTCCAGTGAAATACCCTGTGTAGCAGGCCAAAATATACCCCTGGTAAGGGTATAAACTGCAGCTCAGGGCTACATTCTGGACTGTTACACTGTACTGGTACATATGGTAGGTTGTTTTCATCTACCAGAATACAACATCAACTAAAAGAATCTGCAAGAATGTGAAATACCCTGTGTTGTTGTTGGCATCCTTCCAACTATTGTTGTTGGCATTCTTCCTACCCAGTGTAACAGGCCAAAAAATACATGTACCCCTGGTTAAAATATACCTGGGTGTACATTCCGGCCAGGGGTATATTCTGTACAGCTACACTGTACTAGTACATACAGATGTAGGTTGCTGTCGTTCGTACAGCATCTATTTAAAGAATCTATTCATACCATTATGAATGAAAGGGTATACCCCAGTAGTAAAAACTATATCTTCACTCACATAGCAGGGTTCAGGGTGCTCCATACTGGACACCTCGTCAGCTGCAAGGTTAAATTTGATTGGCAGCCGTCCATCCCAGAGTTCCCTCAGCACTTCTCTGTCGTCTGCCATGATGTGGAACCAACCCTCGTCTATGAACCTTTGATGGCTACTACTCTCTTCAGATTTCTGTAAATAGAATAGGAGAGAATTTAAACTAATTCTTAGCAATTATCTTGGAGGGACAAAAGTATTTCTGTATAAGTTTCATCTAGGACATTATATAGAAGTGGCAGCACATCAGCAACACATATTTTTCCTCTGGGCCAAATTTTTCACTGGAAATTGACAGGGCAGGCTGCAAGGCCTTGTCTTGTGGACAGTGTAAGGAAGCTAAACAAAGACGATTCTAGTCAGATGCCAGACCCAAGAGGGACGTGATACGCCCTTCGGCGTAAGAAGCCACACGCCCCCATTGTTGCTGAGTTGACACCTTTGGTCTAATTAATCTCTCGTGCAGGAGTCTGTTCCTTGGGGACATGCTGTCCCGGCCCTGGAGCCGAGGAGCTAGCCTGTACTACTACTACTGTACCTGGCAACTGTCTGGCAACACAGGCTAGTCTAACTGATGTCAGTGCTTTTCAGTACTAGCAGAAGTATATCTATACCTGGCCGATAGTGGTAGACGAAGAAGAGGGAGGGGCTGTAATATGATACAACAAGACAACACTAGTCGCCGCCTATGACATGTATCAACTATAAAGGTAAACAACAGGACTGCACTGGTAGATTGCCATGCATGTATACTCTTCCAGTCCATCAGATATCACACAGTGGTTTATATCACACTCAGAAACGCGTAAAATTACATGTACATCTGTGGTCTCGACAAAAATATCAAGACTTCGCGAACAAAAAAGACCTCATACGTGGTGGAAGAAAACGTAAAAGAAACAAAGATTAAAAGATTGTTTCTTCTTATTTCGATAATAAACAATGAATATTGGTACCGGGGATCAGTAAAATGAATTTCTAACCGTGCCCTGCTACGAACAAAAGAAAATTTTGACTTTTTTCTCTCACCTGAAATTTCTACCTGCGAACGGGAACCATCTTGGTGCAGACTGGGGGCAGAGGTTAGCAGAATAGTCCATAATATCATTTTAAGGAGTAAATACTAATAACAAAACAATAGAAAATGTTATTCCAACCAAATAAGTTGTATCTGTATACTTATACATGAATTACTTAGTATTTAAATATATTTTCTGATATCAATTTAAGGATAATCTTGAAAACATTGCATGGTTTTGCCGATGTATTTTCTACAATTACCTAAAAGGGATGGTATCGTCCGTTTTCCCAGAGCTTGCTGGGATCGGGGAAAATTCAATCATGGCCTCTCGTGTGGAGGAGGGTAGCTCCCAATCAGGTAGGGGAGTTTTCTCAAAATTTGCATTTTTCTACTAATTTCAGCACTTTTTACCTCAGACTCCATTGCCATACTTACCCTAGCCCCGTTTTGGAAAGTTTGAATGCACATTTAGGCGATATTGGCGGGAAATTTGAGTGAGAAATTTGTGTCCTTCAATGGCCGACTTTCTGAGCTAGCTTCTCTCCCCGTCCCGACCAAAATGGACTGTTCCATTTTGTTTTCGTGGGGGAGGGAAGGGTGCGCAATGGTAAAACCCACACCGGGGGTGGGTGGGTGCAAAATTGCACCTGTCCATGCATTCACAACTTGTGGTCCTTTAAAAAAGTTTGAAAAGAAGTGCTTTTTACCCCCTATATGGGCTATTCCAAATGTATACAATGGTCCAAATTATGAGACTGTATCTGGGTCATACATTTTCACTATTTGTAAATACATAGACTTTCTCCCAAGTCATCCTTAATTTTACGGAACTCATGCACAGCTGATGTTATATTTTACTAGGGACTTCTAAAAGCAAATATTTCTTTTAGTTTTGCCCAATTGATTTTTCTTTTATGAAAATATAAGGAAAATTCATAATGTTTTCTTTTGTTTTGGTGGGTTGCAGTTGTTGTTTTGCAGAGTTTTGGCAAAATTTGCCTTGGGAACCCTAGCTCTTTTGCATATCAACTTTAATGTTAATTATTGATTTAAGTTGTTAGATTTCATACCCGTATGTTGAATTCTTTATTGCTCTTTTTTCTCTCTCGATTTCAATTCCTGTATATTTCATTGTCATGTCTTAATATCTGTAAGACACAGTTTGTTCTCTCTTCCTCAGAGCTGGACATTGCCTTCCGGTTTCTGGTGGACAACATCGGACTGAACTGGAGAACTCTCGCTCCAGAACTGGGCCTCACACCAGGCCAGGTCAGTGCCTAAATTATAGTGTTTACTACTGTTACCGCCATGTTAGACAACCTCAAGTGTTGGAAGCTCTTGGAACTTATTTAATGGAAGGAAACCGAAGATGGAAAGAAATTAGAATCAGTAACTTTTTATGCATTATAACAGATTTAAATACTATGCCTCATTCAGATTTATGAATGACAGTCAAATATCAGAAAGTTTCAATGACACAGGTTTGGGTTTTGAATTGTGGATTTGGTAATTGTGGGATTGTATGTCAGAGATCCAACTGATTCTTCTTTTCTTCTCGAGTCACCAGACACTGCTATACTCTCCCACTTCAGTATTCTGCACATGCCCTTCCTCTGGGGGTCAGGACTTCCAACAGATATGACTACCAAAATGTCCAAGGCAAAGCTGTCATATAATTAAAGACAAATCCTTCTATACTTATTCCCACCATTTATTATGTATTGGCTTATCCAGATTGGCTGGGTGACGAGACAGTGTGGAGGGAATGTGATGAAGGAAGTGTTCCAGTGCCTCTGCACCTGGAAGGAGACCTTTGCAGAAAAGGCTACAGTCCAGGAGCTGGTCAGGGCACTGCATAAAACCAAAGTTAGGCTGCTGTCTCGGATGGCAGGTATGGTACTACAGAATGTTTTGGAACAGTATTCCGGCTAGCGTGTGTGTTTTCGTCTGTTGACCGAATTTTGCTAAAGTTTTCTGTGGATTTGTGTTAACAAGTGGTCACAGTACTTGTTTTCGTCCTTTTTTTTTATCATGATTGAGTTATCTTTTGTAAGTTGTAATACAGATTCTTTTGTTTCTTGTTTCCACAGATGAAATTGTAAAGAAATGTCCCAGTGCAAGAAATCAAATGCTCTCCACATTGCCAAAACCAGGCAGGAAGCGGAAAGATGTCAATTTGTTGTCAGTGTCGCTACCCACCAAGAGACAAAGGTGGGGGACAGTTCAGAGTTCAAAGGGTACCACCAATGGGTCAAAGGTTACCTCTCCCCAAAATGTCAAAGTTCATCCGAAGCAAACGGCATCACAGGTGATTGTGAGAAAGAATGGCGGAGAAGGTAGCAAAACGTTGCATGTCAAAGGCAATACTCTGAAAAACAGTGCTCAGAGTTCTCTTACAGTAAGAGTTGTCAGGTCAGAAGGCAAAGGTCATGACCTTAAATCTAAGGGTCAAAGTTCAGTCTCAACAGGCAACAGTAGACAGTCTAATAGTTCTGCAAGCTCAGCAACATCTTCAAGGACTGAGAGTAAACTTCAAAGTAGTTCTTCTCTACCAAAGAAAGTGATGATACAAAAGGGTTCTGACGTTAGAATTGTAGCAGAAATCAGGCCCAAACAGACAACATCAAACAAAGACCTCAGACCTAGGAGAGAATGTACTGTGGTGAAAAAGGAGGATACACAGAAACCTGAGACAAGCAAGGTGTCAGAAGCCAAAGATGAAAGTTCAGCAAAGAAGGACAAAGTTGAGGACGACAGTGATCATGATGATGTTGTAGCAGAGATCATGATTCTGGATGAGAAGACTGGACGACTGGTACTGGGGAAGAAAAAGCCAGGACAGCAGGGTGTCTCCTCAAGCCAGGGTTCTGCTGCTGTGGAACAGGACTCTGTACAGGAGAATACAGACTTCTATATGAGGGAAGTGGTGAACGAGATCAAGAAGACATACAGGTAACGTGAAGGGTGAAGTATAGTTGGGCTGGAAAGTATTTTGTGTAAGAAATTGGCTGTGTTTGTAATGGGTATTGAACAAATTTAAGTCAAGACTTTGTCGTCAGTTTGTTTGAAAATATGTCAATTCTGTCCATAGCCAAATGGATTTGGGACAAAAAATTGTGATTGAATTTTCTGTTATGCAATGTTGAGACAATAATGTTGACGGTATGCACATTTTGATTGTTGTTGGTGTTTTGCTGAGAAAGGTGTTTAATGTTGTTTTATATCTGCTGTGCCTTATAATTAGGAAGTTGTTCTGTGTTCCGGAAGTGTTCCTGTTTGGGTCTCTGGTGAGGCTAAATGTAGCACATGTCTACACACAACTACAGATGGTGGACAGGGACACACAGGTAGGCAGAAACAGTTTGTCCTTCTAGTCCAACTTTTTGCATACTCAATTTGAACCATACAAGCATAAACAATCATATATCACACATGCTGCACTTTGAAGTAGCCATTTTGTTACCAATTGTTTGCTGGGTTAGGCAGTGGTCACTGGCCAGTACGCTTAAGTACACAATGCGCACATGGGTTTCCTTAGTTCTATGAATGATGCATGTCTCTACATACTTATAGACTCAGGAAAGTACTTGCAAAAGGAGTTTTGAGTGTTGAATACTAGATTAAAGATTAAAGTATATTTTGTCATCTTACATCAAATGTATCCATACCTTATCTTACCTTAGACCTTAAAGCCTCCCACAACTTTGTTCCATACGTGTAGGTTGCAATAATATTATTTTTATCAGAAGAGCAGTATAAAGCCAACATTTGACTGCAAATTAATAGTGAAAAGTAGAATATGTGTTGATTTTCTTCTCTGCTCCCCAGACCCCAGTAGAAGACATTGGTAGTATCATCACCCCCCAGGCTCAGACAGTCCGTGCCGGGACTGTCATGCTGGTCACTCCCCGTAGGATCCTCATCGAGGGGGAACAGGGCATCGGCAAGTCCACATTCTGTGAGTACTGAAGTTTACTCATTTAAAGGTCAATCCTTTTCAAGATTTAGTGAAGATTTAGTGAAAATATCTTTTCATTTCATCAGCCACAAGATTGAGAGATCCCTGGTATTCATGACTGGACATTATGTCCTTGGGAAAGCCACTTCACACAACTTTCCTCCCTACTCCCAGGTGTAAAATGAATACCAGACTTAGGTTGGGGAGGTGAAAGGCGATGAAAGGAGAGGGATGAGCTCCATCATCAAAAACTGTTCCCCACTACCCCTATACTATGGTCTTCAAAAGGCTATAGGACTACCTTTACCTTTATGTACCTTCATGTATCTTTTCTCACACATAACCGTATTGAATGCACATTGAACCTGATGAGGAAAAAAGGTGAATCTTCTGGGAAACTTTGCTGCAGTGTTATTCATAATGTACCAATTATAGATTCTAAGGATAATGTTCAGTGATGCAATGTTGATTTTCCTTGCTAGGTCACAAGATCAGCTACAACTGGGGCTGCACCCTGTTTAACGTGTATGTGCAGTTCAGCCTGGTTTTTAAGATAGACCTGAGCTCTGTCAGGGCCGACATCGTCTCTACTGTCTGTCATCAGCTGCTCGAGGTCGACACCAAGGTTTGGCTCAAACTATACATATACCCTTTTAATCATGGAGAAAAGGAAAAACTGCCATGTGTGTTATCAACCCAAAAATGAGATGTTTGAAAATTTGGCTAAATAGTGGGGATGTAATTGCAGGTTGTGATAAGCTAATTCACTTGTCTTTTCCATGAAATACATTTGCTGAATAAGTGCAGGAGTCTATATCCTCTTTATGTTAACCTTTTGCAGAAGGAAATCATACTGTTTTTTCTCTGTTTCTTCTTCCCTTCCAAACAAAAATAAAGTCAATGACCTGAGCCAGATGGCTGTCACCATGGTAACTGGTACTGTAGCAGACACCCTGGGGTGTTGGGTTACATTATGTAGCAAGTGGCAGGACAGAGCTGGAGAGGCTGGTCACCATATATCTGGATGTATTTGAGTAAGAATAAACAGAACAGTGTTTTCTTAAGGCTAGACCATGTGAAGGTAAACATTATGCATTTGTTTTGAAAATCTTACCTTTCTACTTTGTTTTCTCCAGATGAAGCGGTCGGACATGAGAGCATTCATCGAGAAACGCCAGCATGAGACCCTGTTCATCCTGGATGGGCTGGACCAGCTGCCTGCACACGCCCACCCAGAGTACCTGGCACTTATGAAGTAAGCACTCAGCTTTGTTTTGCATAACCTGTAAACTGCCTTTAGGTGTAACACTTAAGTTTTGTACAGTACAAGCTGTGTGCATGTGGGACCCGACTGTAGGGTTTGAACCACTCACACAGGTATGGTCCCATACTGTTTTCTGTAAAGTGTGGGGTCCTCTTGACAAGCTCTCTTCAAACACCTGGCTTTATATCGCATTGGAAAAACTTCACTCTGATGAATCCAGGGCTCAAAATCCTTTTTTTTGCATACCTGCACTGGTGCAGGTACCTTTAGCTGCACCAGACAAGTTTTACCCTTCACATTACACAGAAAACTGCTAAGAAAACCATTGCCATTATTCTCACACTCATAATGATGACAGTTTATCCAGCAAATAAAATCTACATTCACCTAGCAGTGTAATGAATAGCCTCCTACTTTTCACCTACTAGCATACTCATAATATTTTCCCTTCCCCAGGAAAGAGATCCTGCCCAAAGCCTGTGTGATTGTGACCACCCGTCCTCTGGAGCAGCTGCCGTGTGAGTTTGACTCCTACTACATCATGAAGGGCTTTACTCCAGAGAAGAGGAAGGAGTACGTACGCAGGCATCTGGGACGACTTTCCTTAAAGGTAAAGATTGCTTCAGCTTTTTTCCTAGAACTATATTACTATGGACATCACTTCCTTCTGAATGCTTTCCTAATGACTATAACCTTAAAGTTTTCAAGTCTAAGGTAAACGAGCATCTATCCTCACAGCCCATTACTGTATGAATCTTGTATTGTGGAAGATTGGAGAAGATAAAAAAAAAAGAGATTGACACATGTTCAGAATCTGTAAAATAATGTTAGAACATTGTACAACCAGATTGACCCAATGAGGGTTGAATTTGATGAAGGAAAAGCAAAAGTTAGTATCTGTTTTACGATGCTTACACGTACTGGCTTCAAACGTAAATGAACATTTCTGCCCCCTGGCAGGTGATTGAGGAACTGCACTCGGTGTGGCAGCTGGATGAGATCATAAGGAACCCTCTGAACGCCGTTCTGCTGTGCCGTCTGTACGAGATAAACCAGGGCTTACCGGACACATTCACCGCCATGTTCACCAAACTGGTCATGGGGGTAGTGGGATGGAACTGCCACAGGTAGGAGAACACGAAAATTGTAGACACAACCCTGTATGTACCTAAAATGATTGATTTTGAGTATGATGAGTTTGATTTGCTTCAGAAACACAAGCATATAATATTATGTACATTGTAGGACATCATACAAAGTCAATTTAGAGATATCTGGTATTGGTGTAAGCTAAACTAGCATCGTCTCTGAATTTCTGTGGGGAAACGTTCACAGTCCTACCTGTACATGTGTTTCACAATCTCTTACTATTAGGACTTACTATTAGGAGCTGATCATGCCTCAAGAGTTTGTGACCATATACATGACAATCATGAATGTTACCACATATAAATAAATCAACAGGATCAAAATGTTCCCTATTCTCCTGACTTACTGGTGTTGGCAATCGAGTTTCTAGAGACCTGACCATTCAAAGGGCTGCTATAATAGTGATGTAGTTAGGCTAGGGGCCTGATCAGTGGAAGGGCTGCTAGAAGCGTGAGGCTAGAGCCAACCTAAAACAATGTTTTTCCCCTTTTATCAGTGTATTGAAGAGATAACAGTTATATTTGTTTGTATGTTTACCTTTAGGAAGGGGATAGAGATGAAGGGAGAGGAGATCCCGAGTGCTGTACACCAGATCATCGCTAGTCTGGGCCACATCGCCTGGGAGGGGCTGCGCAACGGGCTCATGTCATTCGACGTGTCAGAACTCAGGAGGTAGGGAGGGAGAAAAGCGGCAAGAAGAAAATGTTTTGTTATGGCATGTTGTATTGGGTTATTGGCTCATGACACCTTGTTAATTTTCTTGTATTCAGTATATCAATGTTATAGAGTTATACCAAAGCTAACAACATTTTGGTGACTGTCTGTCACCTTCCTCAGAGAAATACTGACTGGTTTGACACCTAGTTGCCAGTCAGTATTGCCCAGAGAAAGGTAACAGACAGTCACCAAAATGCCAGCTTGTAAACTCCTTTGGTTGTGAGTTATTTACCAACCTAAAATTATTCACTGTTTCATGTATTCAGTTTCCACACTTTTCCAACTTCTCCACCCTGTAGGTGCTACCCAATAACCAACGAGATCCTGAAGTTTGGGTTCCTGATGTTTGTAATTTTGCCGGAGGAGCCGTGTGCACCGGTGTTTCTTAGCTGTGGATTGAATTCATAGTCTCCTGTATTCAATTTCCACACTGTTCTTATTTATCCCCCTGCTAGGTGCTACCCAATAACCAACGAGATCCTGAAGTTTGGGTTCCTGATGTTCGTGATGCCTGAGGAGCCGTGTGGACAGAGCCTGCGCTGTACGTTCTCCCACCGAGTGTTTCAGGAGATCTTCTCGGCCTGTTACATCAGCACCATGGCCAGGCTCACACCAGACTCTGAGCTGACTGCCGCGTACCTACGGCTCTGTACACAGGAGGGGTTTCAACAGGTCAGGACTCAGTCACATGGAAACAGTGTTCTAACCAATGTCTGTCTTTGCGTTATTTGACGGAATTTGAGCTGAATTTGAGCTGAAATCCTTATGTAATTTTTCACTAAAAGAGATGTCATTAAACTAAGCTTAATCTACTAGCAAAATTTGCCCCTGAAAATGCAGGAAAAAGGGTTTCAGGTGGTCAAGATTGGGCGAAGTGTATGACCTAGACCAGCTAGGGCTTTAGTGCATAATATGATGTTACAAGAGATGATGTAGGCTGATTTGTTATCTTTTGTCACAAGTGTTGCAGATTTTACACTGTTTAAGGTGTGAATGTCCTGACATAGCCCATTGTCCCCCCAGGTGTGTGTGTTTGTGTCTGGTCTTCTGAAGGACAAGTCAGAGATCCTATTCCAGCAGCTCGCAGCCCAGATCAAGTTCTGCTCGGAGCTAAACCGTCCCGTCGGCGCGCCCGGGACCATGAACCCGCTGGACGACACGCTGCACCTGGCACTGCTCTGTCTGCACGAGACCGGCGAGGTCGACCGCTTTGCGCCGCTCGTTGCATCGCACTTCGCCAAACGCCTCTTCATCTCGGATTGGTCGTCGAAGAGCTGCCTACAGGTGAGCACTACATCTGTTTCCATTGCTTTGATTCCCGGTCAATACTTGTATGCTAATAGTACTTTATTAACTCCATAAGCTTGAAATTCATACAATTCAGATACAAATGTTGATCTTCCTGGTGTTCATAGTACAATTAGATAACAGATCTATAATTACAAGTATATACAAATTTACACAAATATTACATATATAGAAGGAGCTAAGTATGTTCTTCCTAGCTCTAATTTTATTTTATTTGATTGTGTACCCTCTTACTACTCTCTTCATAATGATGAAAAATAAAATCTTTGCCAGTCGATGAGATCTGGTGAAATTTGCCCTCAACCATTAGCATTGTTGTTGCTTAAAAAAGTATTTTCCATCATTTCCCTGCTTGATTTTCTTGAAGGTTAACGCTTTCTTTTCTCTTTTATTGCAGAGTATTGTGTCCATTCTACAGTATCAGGACGCACAGCAACCAGATGAGGTACAAGAAACGACAGCTGAAGTAACAGAAACAACAACAGAAACAGCAGCAAATGGTACTGCAGACAGCACAGCAATCCAACCAGCTGAGGAGAAGAAAGAAGCTCCAGAAAGTAAAATAGGTGAAGAACAAAAGCCAGACAATGTTGAGAAGATGGACACAAGTGTACCAGATCCAAAGTGTGAAACACCTGATGTGGAAGGGAACAAAGGGGCACAGGATTTGGACTCAAAATCTGAAGAAGGTAGCAGCCCTTTGAAGAGTAAGGCTGTTGTCACAGAAAACACTGACCAAGCCACAGGCACACAGAGAAATGGGACAGCTGAGTCAAGGAGCAAAGAAGGAGACGAAGAAGAAATGGAAGTCGAAATATCAAAGGACCAAAATAAAAGCAAGGAAGAAGTTGAAAGTGAAAAAAAGGATGAAGATTGTGCTACTATTGAGAAGGATGAAGATGAAAATCATGAAGCAGAAAAAGATGACAGAAATGAAAAAAATACAATGAAGAAGAAGGATAAACAATCCCCACTGAAGCAGACCCAGGATTCCAGAACGCTAAGAAGAGGAAGGTCCAGAACATCCTCCACTCTACCAGATGAGAAAGAAGAAAAAGAAGACAGTGATAAAGAAACTGAAGAGGAACAGGACAAGGAAGCTGATAGGAAAACGTCTAAGAAAAATGCAGACGCATTAAAAGGAAGTAAAAGACTGAAGGATACAACAGAGTCATCTGAAGAAGAACAAGAGGAAGAACAAAAGGGAGGCAGAAACACAAGGAGCAGGACAAGACAGGAGAGTAGCAAGGACAGGAAAGTTTCAAGCAGGGGCAAAGACAACAGTGAAGGTGATGAAGAAGATCAGTCCCCCAGTGGAAGAGGAAAGATTCCAGAGTCTCCCAGACGATCGTCTAGAAGAAAAGAGAGCCAGCCTGAGGTATGTACTGATCCTGTTGGGAGTAGAACAAGGTCAACTGGTGAGGGGAAGAAGGGAGGAAAGGTAATTTCCCTGGCAGATGATGGTGATGATAAAAACGAGAGCTATGTCGATCCCATCGGAAGTAGAACTCGGAGAAGAACTCGGTCCGATGCCCTGCAGAGTCAGGTTGGTGGCGGCTCGGGTCCCAAGACTGCCACACGCACAAGTCCACGCGCCAAGGCTGCCAGGCGGGACAGAAGCAGTGGGAGTGAGCAGGAATTCGTGGATCCGGTTGGTCTGAGGACACGAACCCGTGCTAGAGGGGGTAACGTCCAGTCACCTAGCAAAGAAAGAAAGCCATCTGCTAAAGAAAACTCCTCTGAAGTAGATGTACAGGACAAAGAAGAGAAAATGTCAGAAGAGGAGTCACAAGAGGGTGAAGGGGAGTTCATCGACCCTATAGGGTTAAGGGTCAGAGGTCGTAGGGCAAAGAGCATTGCACGAGAACAGCTCCGGGTCATTGCAGACGACAAGTTTGAGCTACGTCGGCAGGAAGCCACCCGCGTGTCTCCGAGGTCAAGGGCAAGAGAGATGTCCTCTCCAACAAGAAGTCCAGGGAGGGGGAGGCCCAGGAAAGGTTCGGAAGGAGAGGGCAAGGAAGAGAAATCAAGACCAGGGAGAAGACAAAGCCCCAAGGGAGAAGACAGACAGAAGGGGCCGAAGATTAAATGGGGTAAAGGGGTGCAAGGGAAGAGCAAGTCTCCTCCTAAACCTAAGAAGGATGAGGAGGAAAAGGAGGACGACAAGACAGAAGAAACTGAAGATGTGAGGGAGAAGGTTAGTTGATTAGTTCTCTTGGGTATACAACACTGAAGGTTTTAAAAGAATTCTTGTACATACTTTGAGTACTCAATATAACTACATTTTGTACATGATTGTACATTGTACTTGATAATGGTAGGGTTGCCACATTGCATGAGTTGCTCTTTACTGTTTAGGGTTTTCATGTTTGAATTGTTTTATTTAGGATGCTGAGGAAACAAGTAAGGAGGACATTAATGGTGATGACAAAACCCAAAAGGATGGGGAACAGCAAGAAAAAGAGGAGACTGGTCCAGAGGAAGAGGAGGAAGAAGAGGTGGGTTTGGTCTACATTTCCCATTAATCCTTTAAATTAAGACAATCAAGAAATAAGATTTAAGATTTTACAATCTGCTGAAGATGGTAAAATTGTTGCATCTTTGATTAAATTTAGACATCACTCCATAGTGTAAAAGCAAGAAGTCCAATGATTTTTTTCAGATGCCTCAAAACAGCACTTCAAATACTTGAAAGTCATAATTATTTGTAGATGCAATGTACATGTATGTGCTCATATATACACAGTACGGAAGGTATTTCCAAGAAAAAAGCGAGCGTCTGTTTGCTCCCTAGGTTCTTGAAGAAGAGCCAGAGGAAAACCAGGCTGGGCTGAACTCCTTAGAAATCAGCATCTTTGCCAGCAACTTGCAGATCGTCTTCAGGGCCTTAAGGAACAACCGCATCATCAGGACTCTCACTTTTACTGACAGGTAAGGAACTTAGGCCTTAAAATTATGAACTGCCTCTTTATGCACATACAGTAAGTGCAAAGTCGCAAAGCCCAATTGTTTTAACGTTAGCAAACTGCCAATGGAACAAGAGGTTGGGAGTTTGAATCCCGGATTCTGTCGCTCACCCGACATACATGCTTCTGTAAAAGGTCGGAGTCATGGTCTACTGTTCATTGAATTTCCCTGGTACAATGAACCTGTAAATACTGTACATAGCGTGTGTCTTCTCTGTCTTGATCAGTGGGAGAGTAAAACCATACGTTCCTCTACAGTAAGAAAAACTGGATCAAGATTCCTTTTTGTAATACATAGAAGAAAGTTTTGAGATGATAAATTCATAATATTTCTGGTTTAAAAGACATTGTTGTTGTTTTTTTCGGCAGATTTCTTCCAGCCACACGGAACATCTGTCACCTGGACTGGTTTGACTCGCTGGGGGAGTTGTTCCTCCACAACACCAGCCTCCGTACCCTCATCATCGACTCCGCCAACTACCGCGTCACCCGGGGAGCTTTCACCAACGTGGTCACCGCCGCAGTCACCAGCAAGAGTCTGCAGACTATACAGCTCAAGTTTGAACTGCACCAGAAGGTAGAGAAACTAGTCAGTCAAGTCTTGTATTTACCAGTATTTATTGGTTTGGCTGTTCAGCACACATAGCCAGGGCAGCCTAGCTAGCCTATGGCTGTTAGAAAGTGCTTGCCCTGCTAACAAAGAGAAAATATTACAATGGAATTTGACAGCATTACAATCTATAATATTATTCTTGGTACATAGAAAATGTATATAAATGAACTAAAATAGCATCTATAATGGAATCCAAGAAATCAGTGTCAGGGCATAAAAATGTTATAGAAATTGCCTAGAGAGTCCCAGAACTTCCTTTTGAAGTCTTGTCTTTTAATGGTCAAATGTTTGGGTTCACAACTCCACATGTACTTATATCTAATTGAACTTGTAATCAAACATGAGTGTAAAAACAGCTGCTCCTTTCCTTAGGCTGAGAAGACCAGCGGTTACATCCGTCTGGGCATCCCGCTGGAGAAACTCACCGAGTCGCCGTCTCTTCAGACGGTTTCCGTTGAGCTGACAAGCAAAATGACGTCTCACGAGGAAGCCGCGAACGACGTGACTCGCACGGTCGTCAAGCTGCTCAAGAAACCCTCTAACCTTAAGAAGGTTTCCTTCACTGTTAAAGAGAAGGACAGCTACTTTTTACAAGTGAGTGGATGGCATTGGTAGCTTCTTATGTGTTTACCTTAAGGCATTTAGTGTATATTAAAGACGCAAATAGTATCTAACATCTATTTTATTTTATTCACATGGATTTTTGAGCATTGGATAGGAAGCACTTGTGCTTATGTAAATCCGCTGCTCATACAACATAATACAAATGTAGACATAAAGATGACATAAAGTATAGCATTAACATAAAATGAAAGTGGCTGGCGCACCAATACCTAGCATAACAATATTGAGATCTAACATCTAAGGTAATTGTACAGAAGATATTCTGAACATTTTATTAATCACAACTAGAGATCAAAGATCTCATACCTATTAAGATACCTTGACCAAGATTCCTGGACAAACCACTGTACAGACCTATCACACCTGAAAGTGCCGCTGCAGTACCTTTGGAAGCTGCTAGAATGCCCATCATCGAACTTGACCTTGATATTCCCCACCCTAACCTACCAACAAAGTATTATGAAAACACAATCACAATATCAAAAGTTATCCAGTGTAGTAAAAAATAGGCCCACAGCAATTTAAAAAAAGTAGCAATTTCGCTTAAATCTACACCACGTAAATGTAAGTAACAAGTTATGTTTTTCTCCCCACCTGCCCTCCCAGGTGTTACCAGTGCTGCGAGCCATGCAGGTGAACAGCACCATCAGTGACTTCTCCATCGACATGGGAGCCCAGCCCAGTACCAGGTACACTCTCGCTGCCATCAAGGAGGTCCTCACCTTCAACACTGGGCTCACTTCACTCAGTGTGAGTATGGGGTGTACAACTTAGCGGTGATGATGGTGACTTCATTTAAGACACACCATTTTCATTTGTTTCTTCTTGGGATTCTTTTTCAGAAAGAAGTATCAATATTGACAGGATAAAAAAAACAGGCCCAGGCATCCAATGATAGCCCCAAATGCTATGTAAGGAGCCATGAAGTCAGCATACTAAGCTGGTTTGTAATTCAAACAATGAATTTCAAATATTTTAATCAAACCACTGCATTAATAGATGGAAGGAAGACAAGGTCTTACCTTTAAAGAAATGGCATGGACAGTAAAATGCATATCTTTTCATTATCTTCTAGCTATTCTCCCACAATAGCCCCCATACATTGTATCTAAAAAAGATCAGATCAAAAGTTGCAAGATAGTATTATAATACAGCAGAAATTAGCAGACAAAGGGTTGAGGGACGCCAATGTTAGACAGCTGCTATCCTCTTTTACTAAAGTTCTCCTGACCCCCCTGACCAGGTGAAGTTCCACACCCCTGCCCCCGTGAACTCAGATGACCTGACAGAGGTGTTCACAGCTGTGGAGAACAGTGACCTGCGAGCCTTTATGCTGGACATGGGCTGCGGCTGGTCAACTGACCCACTGGACCCTCCGGTACTGGCACTGGCTGATCTGCTGGCTAATAACAACACCCTCAGGTAACCTATTTACAAGTCTTTCAACTACAATCGTGTAGCATAATGGTTGGGTGTTTGGCCCAGAACATGTAAGTCCACTAGCATGCACCGATGTTGTGTCCTTGGGAAAGACACTTTACATGGTTTTGGAGAACAGTGACCTGCGAGCCTTCACACTGGACATGGGCTGTGGCTGGTCTACTGACCCGCTGGACCCTCCCGTCCTGGCACTGGCAGACCTCCTGGCCAACAATAACACCCTCAGGTAAGGCCAAGGAAAAAATGTTGACTGTGTTTCCCGACCGACCCTAGAAAGGGATATAAATTTTTGGAGCTGATCGACCATTTTTAGCTCCATGATCTGACACCAGAGTGATAAAATGTTGTACAATCAGTTTCCAACATTGATATTGAAAATATGTGTCCTCACGCAAGTTTTACTTGTTAATTTTACTATGTTAAACTGTATGTTATGCCGGTGTAGTAAACCAAAGGGTGGTTATACCGGCTATACAGATACAGAGGTATTGTATAAATTCCTATAACAATTTGTTACGTTCACTCTTGACATTGGATGTGACTGGTTTAAAGCCATAGGGTGATACAGATATACAGATACACGTACATTGCATACCTGTACATAGATACATGTACAATGTATGTCTGATGTGTGTTCTAATGATATTTCACTGCAGAAAGCTGCATGTGAGGCTGGACTGTCCCTGGTCACCCCAAGCCATCAGTAATGACACCATCGCACTACTGTGTGCTGCTATGTATGCTAACAGGTGAGTGTTTCTTTAAAGGAATCCAATGTGATTTCAGGGCAGCAAAACTGGAAATATTTTGAATTCGACAATCTTTATGATTAAATCACATTAGCACATTTGAATCAGTATTTCATACTTTGGGCTTTTAAAACTGCAGACACAAGCCCCAAGATGAGTCCCTTATTTTCTGGGTGGTACCCTAATATCAACCCAGGGCTCAAAGTACCACCTGCACAAGCGGGTTAGTACAGGTAAAACTGGAGCTGTGCAGGTATTTCTGATGCCTAAGTGGAGTGTAGGTGTATGTGGATTTTTATGATCTACATTCATAGTTACCATTTATGAAATATAAAAGAAATAATGATAATGGCAATGTTTTTTTTATAGTATCAGCCATGCTTCCAAAATACTGAGTGGTGCAGGTAATTGTCAATGTTGCCTCCACCACTGCAGGTACACAGAAAAAGGCATCTAGAGCCCATTTAGGCCACAACATTTTGAGAATGACAGATCCAATTCTTCTATCGCAGTTGTATCTAAACTCTTGTTGTCTGATCTATGAACAGTACTGTCAAAGAGCTGAACATCTCAGGAATCTACACAGCAGAGGACAACGGACCCAGAATCATCCAGGCACTCCTCAAGCACAAAGGCACCAAGTTCACCATCGATATGCCGTACTGGTGGAACGCATACTGCCAGGTCAGTGTTCAAAATACATGTACCCATCTGCATTTTGCAGAGAGATCTACAATATTGCAGAAGAAAATTCCTACAATCTGCAACTTGCATTTTTAACTTGAGAAGCCACCTCCAGAGAATGGACAGGGACAAATGGCCAAAGAGGATCCTCACACTAGATGTGGAGGGTCCAAACCCCCGTGGCCGCCCTAAGAGGAAATGGTACGACAACATACGGGAGGACCTCCACCACCTGAACTTAGATAAGATCAACCCACAGGACAGAGACAAGTGGCGTGCTGCCATCAAGCCCCAGTTGTACTGTGCAAGCACGTCTAACCCTCGGAAGACGGGGAACAACAAACAATAAACCGGACAGAGAGAGAGAGAGAGAGAGGGTCGTAGTATGGAGGCTTGTGTAAAGTGTTTCCAAATTGCAGAACAAAATTTTGACTCGTCTGATATTGTAGAACATTGAAATAAAAGTATTTCTACTACTGTCAGGTGGCTGCCGACTACTGTGAGGGAATCGTCATGGACCATTACTTTGACAAGGAAGACACGGAAGGGAGCGGGAAGAAGAAGAAAAAGAAGAAAGAAGGTAACTATCATGAAAGCTCATCTGAATTGGTAAATTACATAATGAGAATTAAACTGTTCTCAAGAAACTCAAGAAAAATTGACAAACTGAAGTTTTTTTACCAAATCTCTCAGTGTTCATCAGCTATCTAACCCAAGTGCTGTATACATGTGATTTTTTTTGCACATGTGACAACAATACAAATGCCATACAAATGACAAAGTTTGTTAAAAAGTCAGTACTGCCTCTATGTCCTGACTTAGGGAAAGATGACGCAGTTTAGATCAATTTGTGCTTTATCTGACAAATGGTCATTTCTACATATTACAGGATAAATATACAGACTTGTAACAAAGATTGTAGTTACAGCACTTAACCTGTGACCCTTAACCTTTCACCTCTCACAGCTGCTACACCAAAAAAGGAAGAAAAGACAGCAGCAGACAGCAAAGAAGCCAAGCCAGGCACCAGCAGCACAGAGACAAAGACAGCAGCAGAAAGTGAAGAAATATTGACTGTCACAGACTCTTCAGAAAGTTCGGAAACAGATGAAGGCAACACATCGACAAAAACAACATCACAGAACACAGACACAACAGAAAAAGCTGTAGACAGCACAGAGAAAAGTACATGTAAGCCATCTTCATCTGAGGAAACAGAAAAGTCCAAACAGTGTCCAGAGCTCAGCAAAATGTTGACGACAGACAGCAAAAAGGTGACAACAGACAAGTCCGATTTGTGCCCAGAACTCAGTAAAATGTTGACAACAGAAACTGAATCTACCGAAAAAACAGAAGAGAAAGAAGATAAAGAAGCCGAACAGGACACAAACACCAAGGAAGGCTCTACAGAAAGCAGGGATGTAGAAAACACTGAAAAGAGGGATGGTGAAAGCGAGACACCGAGTGTAGAGGAAGAAACTCCATCTTGTAGTGGTCACAGCAAGGGTAAGGGTAAGTCAACAAGTGTTCTGTTTTTTTTAACTAAGAAAATGTTGGTATAACAAAAGCATTTTGGGCATATTTTTTACGTCAGCTTTTATTGGAGTTCAAACTCTCCTTTAGCTGTCTACAAATGTACCTATAAATTGAGAAGAGGACACAAGTACTACATAAAAGACATAGAATTTCATCGATAACATAAAGTTAACTTATGGGGGGGCCGACATTGTCTACCTGATAAAATGTTGACGTCACACACCAAAGAAGCCACGTGAGAAGTCTCACTGAGTCAGTCTACTGAGGAAGACCAGAGTGACTGGTCGAAAGCTCTAGGTGAGAGAATATCTTTCTGCTGGATCAAAAGTTTTAACTTGAAACCTTACATACAGTTGTTTTCAAAACATCTCTCACAGGTAAAGCGAAATCACCATCCGACTCAAAGCCCCCAGTAGCCAGCCATCCCGTCCCTGTGTCCACACGTAGAACCACTGCAGCGGCACTCATCCAAGCCGGGGACGATCTGCCAGAGTTCCTCAACCAGTTTCCTGAGTACAAGAACGCCAGGATGATCCGCAGTGGGCGGATCATGGTCAACGTTGAGGTATCTATCTGTATCTGTATAGCTGTTATAAGGGCCCTTCAACGTAACACCAGCTTCTGTATCTGTGTAGCAGGTATAACTGCCTTTCGGCATAACACACCAGCTTCGCAGGCACGCGGCGCAGCGGCAGCTAGCTACATGTATATCACACCAAATGACTTGTTACACCCAGTCTTTGCTCATTTAATTACAGGAGTTGTTTAATTGGCCAACTGTGCTTGGTGGCAACGAGTTCCACTCTATAAATGATAGTTCTTGGAAAATACAAGTTTTTGAACACCTCAATTCTTGGTTGATGGCGTGAGTGTTTCTCGTTCTGTCCTGGGCTGGTATTAGATACTTAGTGGTTGGTACGTCCACCTGTTAATTAGATTTTTGTACATCATGCATAGTCTGGAAATTTCTTCCAGGGATACCCACTGTAGGTTTCTTTTCAGGTGGACTGTCTGGGAAGTACAGGGTACGGCTCCGGGTTTCTCAGTGACACCTTCAAGTTAACGGAAGCCGGGAGGAAGAAGCTGGAACTGATCAAGACTCGTGAGGCTAAAAACACTGTAGCTGTGCGAGAGACTCTGTTCTGTAGCGGGAAGACTAATTGCCAGAGAGAGTGTGGTGGGATAGGAGACTGTGTCAGAGGTAAACACCATATCCTGATCATATTTTGAGAAACAACATCAAAACTTGCAGGTTTCAAGTAGCATTCAGCAAAACTGTATAGAACTGTGTCTGTTTTGATATGTCAGAGGTACAAGTGTAAATGCCATGTTCTTCACATGTATAACAGTAGTGTGGATGTTGTCAATGATCTTTTGGAAAACCATTTACATTGAAACTTGCTCGTTTCAAATGGCATACAGCAAAACTATCAGTATCTCTTTGCATTCTGCAGAGTGGTTTCATTTCTTTCACTTTCAAGATTGCAAAAGCCAAAATCATAGTATACAATCTGCAATTTTACAGCATGAAAAAAAATCAGGTTCGGGATTTAATGGTTTTAGAATTAGTTTGGAGGCTTGATTTATTTGCAGAAAGTTTTTCCAAATGGTAGAAGAAAATTTTGACTCATCTGCATATTGCATAACACTGGAGAAAATTTCACTGATTTCTGATGTCTCTGATTTCTTGTTCCCACCATGTACTAGGCTGCAACAAAGATTCCAACCGAGGCCATCGCTGTTCCTTCCGCGTGAAGCTGCACATGTACATGGACAGACTGAACTTCTGGGAAGTAACAGTGGAGGGGGAACATCTCCCCTCAGCTACAGGCCAGCAGTGGATCCCCTACAACAAGCACTCACACATGTACGTCAGGAACGGGGTCTGGTCCACACTGGACCAGTGATGGCAACGATTCTTTACTCTCTGCTGGGAAGATCTTGAAGAGAGCAAAACAAAATGATTACGAAGCAAGTTTAGACTTTAAAAACCCAAATTTTCAACTGACAGTGTACAACTCCAGTCTACTTTCAGGAAAAACAAAACTCTTTCTTTTGACATGGCCACATTGTCACGATTGTCAGTGTATAGTTATGCTGTAGAGTGCAATAGACTGCAGCAAGTCGGCAGAACGTACTGCACCTGTGTGAAACCTGTGATGTATTATCACTTCAGCAGAACATCTCACGGTGCAACGATGAGCGTTTGAGCAAGCTCAGTAGGTTCTGCTGACGTGCTATAGGTTGCAAGTCTGTTTTTGTGAGAAAATCACAGGGATTTTCTGTTAATAGTCCCAAATGTAGATATGATGTCATTTATTTATTAAATGACACATTCATTACATGTAGCTATACAAGTTGAGGTGTACATGTACCTCCTGTTTTACTTGAATCAAAATTCAATTACCGGGGTACTAGTATTAAGTGTGTAGGAAACTTGTTTCATGTCAATGGTGCATTCTTCAAGGCCCCTTGTGTATATGACATTCAATTTCCTATTGTAATTATATATATATTGAATATACATGGTATTATATCCTCAAGGTTTGTATAATATGTACTGTAGTGTCTCTTTACTCAGGCTCAAATAGAAGTCTTCATTTATCGTACTGAAGTTAAACATTGTTTTGGAACATTGTATTTACTGAAAGTTCCAACCTATTCTTGGTTTTCAAGAAAGTTCCAACTGTTCTGAAGACTCCAGACTGTACCGGTAGTTTGAAGCAGAAATTGTTAAAGAGGAATTAAGCTATCACAGAGGACATTTTTACAGAAACTCCCAAAGTACTACTATCTTTCACACACTTTCAAAAGACCATGTATAGGAACCGTCATTGTTCTGAATGTTAATTTATTGAAGGAAGCTGAACTGTAAAATCACTTTTGAAGAAAAGCGGAATTTTGCAGAACTGACTGTACAATATTGTTACACTGTTAGATCTGGGCAGCCTTATTTTTACCAAAAAGTTCAGATGAAGGCAATAATGTATATAAACCCATTGTTATTTAATACTTTTGTAAATATTGTACCTACTACATGTAAATAGCACTTACAAAATTACGCAATCAGTAAAGAATTGTAGACAGTATTGTAGCTGTATAAAACATCATTCTGTAGTAGTTAGAAAACCTAGTCATTTTGTAAAGACTAGAAGGTAGAAACAGCTTGACTCTTTTGACTGTAACTTGTACTATCTTTTTTGTTATAGCAAATCTTGTGGGACATTAATTTAATTGATGATTCATATTAATGATTTTCCAAATTGTCAAATACCAAGAAAGAAACTGTGTAACAGTAGCATCAATGATTGGTAGATTTTGAAGTCGAACAAGTAGATATTTTGATAGAATTACAATAAAAGAATGAACATTGATTTACTATAAATGCAATTATTGAAAGATCTGTTGCTTTTTTCAACAATGTTTATGTCCTTGCAGTAGTTTTTATAAGATATAGTGCTGTATTCGCAACCTTGTCCAGGAGTAGTTCTATATATACATTTTGTATTATGATTTGTCAATATGTTTAGAGAATTTGTAAAGAATATAAAACACCAAACAAGGATTTGGATCGTGAGTTTTTGCAGGAAGTAATGTTCACAGGAGGAAACTTTGGATGACCAATTACATGTACATTATGGGAAAGGGAACTTGTTCATAATACTAGTAATACAATTCTTAAGACTATGTTTGTGCTTGATTTTTGTGTCATTTATTTATTGTGAGTTGTGACAAGGAGTTAGGTTGTATGAATGAATGAATGAATTTTATTTACATGTAGGTGTCTTGTGACTTTTGTCCCCAGCCCATATGGGCTTATAAGACAACAAAACATAAACATGAACATAACCATAGGTAGAGAAATCATAGAAACATAAATCCGAGTCAAAAGGTCAGACTGGAAACATCAAATGAAATTAAAGAACTGAAGTTCTTGAGTGGAATAATAGAGTATTATACATACATAAAGACAGGCTAATGTAAGATTTGTTAAGTGCAGGAGCGAACACACAGGGTTTGGAGTAGAAGGGAAATATATAAAGTAATAACACTGAACCGATGAAATTGATATATAGAATGATGCCTTTTTATCATAAAGTAGTTTTTGGGTGCATGAAAGCTACTGTGGCAGAATTATTAACGAAAAAGTTCCGCTTTCAGCCGCTCGTAAAAGTCGTTCTAGAAATGTTTGTCTCAAAGTGAACAGATGCAAGACTAAAACGGTTCTTTTCTTACAAATTAGTAATATTTCGGTAGACGGGGAGAGCCTCAAGGTCAAGAACAAGAGCAGGAAAGACCTGGAGCAAAACCCCCATAAGAGCCCATCGCGTTTCCCAAGTCACGAAATGGCCAAATCTGGGAATGAGCGAGGCTTCGTTAGCGAGATACGGGCCTTTTCGAAACGGGTGCCCGAAAACGGGGGTGTGATAGGGGATGAATATCCGCTTTTTCAATTTCAGAAAATTAAAACATTTGACATTGTTCGGCCTCCTCATTTTCAGAGTACACTCCTTACGGCCTCTATTCTATTCCTACTTATTTCCGTCCATCAAATTTGTTTCATTCTCGAGTTATGCGGCAAAACGTGATTTTGCGATCAGCTGATCGGTTGCAGAAGTGGTCAAAACCTTTGCAGAAGTGGTCTTTTTGCCCTCGATCTCATTACCATATGAATGGAAATCAAGCAGATGTCAGACGTATGCCGAAGCAAACTAACACATCATGACATTAACGTTTCATTTCATTTCATTTCATTTATTTCGAAACCTTTTAGCCCCGAAGGGCTAATCTTCCAAGGCTCAAACATTATAGCAATTACAACATAGTGGAAACATTTAAAAATACATACATACATACATACATGTACACCACATCAACAATAAATACACATAGATATAAACAATTTAAAAGTGGCGAGCAAGGGTCAAGGATCAGGTGACACTACTACTGTTTGAAACGGCTTTCTTAAAACTGATAACATCGCACAGTGTCTTAACGTCAGATGGTAGATCGTTCCAGAGCACGACTGCACGATACAGGAATGAGCGTTTTCTGCATGCTGTTGGACTTAGGTATTGGTAATCTAAAGTTATGTGCGGAAGATCTGGTATTATGACTGTGAGATGCATGAACAGGCAAAAGGGAGTTGTAAATATTTTGTGGTTCGTGAGGATCTTAAAGAACATGACCAAAGTGCTTTTCAAGAATCTCTCTCACACAGTCGGCCAACCAAGATCTAGATGCATCTGCCTGGTAGGAGTATCAGGAGTACATTTAATGTTAACGTTAACGTTAACGTTACCATCGACGTGGCACCGTTACAAATAATCTTACCTGTCCTTCCTTCTTTTCAATAAATATATAGTAAAAACAACTACACTTTAGCACGTATTTTCATGACTCAGCTATCCTTGAAGATCATTAATTAGCCTTGAACAGCCTTGAAGAACCAGTTTTCCGAATCAGTTTCACGTATCAGTGGGGACCTCTAGCGATCTATATTGGTTTTGCAAGAGCCGGATGCGGGTTTGCTGCAGCAATGATTGTAGCCGTTTGGCGGCGCTTTTTTTTTGGACCGAAGCAGATTCTGCCTGGTTACATTCTCCTCAAAATTTGTCAATCCTTTTGGATTGCAACATAATGATATGGCAATTTATACATAACTACCATACTGGCCTGTTGTTGGTATTCTATGTGTATTGTAAGCACTCTAGAGTTTTATGAACAATTTTAAAACTGGATTGGATGTAGACTATACATGTACTGTTAGAGATAACATCTCAACAGGTGTATTGAGACAAAGACTTTATTGACAACATTGTGTATTAAACCTCAAAACACTGGACAGAAATGTGAGCATTACTATGACAACTCCATTCGAACTGTTTGTCTTCGTCAGAAATTTTCTTCAAATTCAACATACATGTGTACATCAACATCATGAGTAATGATAAATTCTGAGAAGTTAAAGTGGCTAACGTGTTACTAGAGTTACAATGTATGTGTGATACTACACATAACTGTACACATGTAACAGTTAATCTCCAAGCAGATCATACGGTGGTATTAGGCAGTATCCATTGGCCAGAGGAGTGTCTGTTAGTGGCTAACGGACACTCCTCTGGCCAATGGATACTGTTTTGCCTCCGTATGATCTGCTTGGAGATTAGTAACAGTACCTAATATACATGTATATTACGAATGTTTTTAACACAGTACATTGTATCAACCAATGAGGCAAAAAAATCCTTTTTTTAACCTTCTTGTATCAACAAGGTCTACAATTTAACCACTAGTTTGAATCCACTACTATTGTATTTCAACTGCTCAAAAAAACACAGCTCAAAGCTGAGAAGAATAAAGCCATTTCTCAAGAACTTGGCTTTTTTAAACCTTAGGACCACCTCGTGGACGGAATCCTTTTATGTTTCTCTCTTTCAAACATTTAAGTGAATATCTGGTGTTGATTACAATACAGAGCAAAACTGTACATACAGAAGCCTGCAAATTACATAATTATACATCCACCTCTATATATACAACAGCTGAATAATAATTTACAAACGATCTTCAACACTCTCATTACTAGAAATAACATCCATAGAGAAGTAAAATATAAGCTACATTCTCTACTAATACATATGTACATAACTGCACTTGGGTAGACACAACAGTAAGAAAATGCATTTTACAAACAGTTTTGTTCGTTTTTGACTGAAATAGTGTGCACGGATTGAGAAAACAATATTATAGAAGAAATTTTTATCATTTCTTCCATGGTCCAATGGTCAGTTAGTGAAAAAAGGTCTTAACTTAAATGTACATCCACCAACATAAGTGCCCTCAAGGACAAGGCTGTGATAAGACTTTGAATTTCGCACCATAACCAATCAGACTTCTCATTTCCAAAGGGGGACAGTGTGATTGGTCAGATACCTGTTACCAAGGTGACATCACCCTTCACGCAGTAGAATGGATATCCAATTCCAAATAATGATCCAATGGACCTTTTATTGCAATTTCTTCATGTAGCCTCTAACATAACTCATCAGCCCATATTCTCAACTGGTACAAATGAAGACCTCTTCATCATAAAATTGTAGATAATGTTTCTAAAAAAATACTGACTGGATTTAGTTCCAAGTAAAGTAAGATACCACACAATAATTATAAAGAAACTTGTGACAAACCTACTATGATGAAATCTGGAACAATACCAGAATCATCAATGTCATGGATAGGTTGCTGAAAACATTATGATTTCAAAAACTTTCTTTTTTTTAAACTTTTTCTGTTCTATAGCCCATATGTCCCTCTATATCCTGCATTTTTTCTATCCATGCGATTGTTCGCTTTTGGGGGACCGAAGATGTCATCCTCAAAATCAAAATCGTCGTCAGCACTTGCTCTTGGCGACGGCTGTCCCCCGAACCCTGGGGATCGAGATTTCCACGTAGGAGTTGCATCTGTAATGAGAGAGATAAAAAGAGCTTTTTTCAAACAAAGTGACCAGCGTTTCATAAAATTGAAAAAACTTTATGTGCAAACACATGACCAGTATCTAATTGCAACATAATACACAGAATGGAAAAAAGATGAACATAATTCTACTCTATTTTTTACATATATTACTTAGGGGTTTGGCGTCTTCTTTGGAGGCAGTAGCTAATGTCTTACCTTGAGCCTTCAGTAAGCTTGTTCTGTCAGAGTTTCCCATCGATAGTGGGTCTGGCTTGGCATCTGTAAGATATAGACATGAAAAGTCATGTTGCTAGAATCATACCACTCATTCATACACAACTGTAAAATCAATTAGTCTGCTAATACAAATGTTTATTATAACTGTTCTCCATCCTTATACATGTAACGTTACATTCCCTTTTCAAAGTCAACTTCAAGATTTTTTTCTTGCAGCTGTAACAGTAAAAAGGTTTTTATCAGGGCAATCAACTACACAAATACATCTTTTACACCCTCAAATGACAATAAATAGGAGACCCTACAGGAATCAGGTATCGATCAGTCTTGGCGGATGGATTACATCAATCATATCTTTGACAGTTTCATTGACAGACCACAAAAGCATGGATTAGATCAGACCAAGGCGTTTGTGGCCACAGTTTGGCTGACTTGAAAGACAAACCTACAGAGTAATCAAACGACTGAATACCCTCTTTGTAAAGAACACAGACAAGAGAATGCCACCAAGATGGTGCACTAACAATGGTAGAACATTCAGGGCTCGAAATATCACCTGCATATGCAGGATAGTGCAGGTAAAATTCTTGCTGTGCAGGTATTTCTGATGTCTACCTGCACTGGTCCATGTACTGTGTTGACATACAAAATGTAGGTGTATGTGTATTTTCATTAGCTATATTGGCTTTCATCACATATGACATGTAAACAAATAATAGCCATGGTTTCTGAAGAGTTTTTAGTATGATCCACAGTTTCTAAATTCAGAGTAGTGCAGATAACATTTGTCTGGTGAGGGTAATTTTGTATTATAATGCAGAGGAAAAGGATTTCAAGCCCCAACACTGCATACAAAAGTACTGAAGAGACGTTTCAAAAGACCTTAGGTCAGGAATTTCAGTATCTTTGGTGCCTCTGATACTGACAAAGAATAAAACAGTGTCTTTCAGGGCTGGAAACAGGAGGAAAGGTCTTCATGCTGGAGTAGGCCTGAGGAGAGTCGCTAACAAAACACGGCGTGTTTACCTGGAGCGTAAACAAACAAGCTACGCTCACTGACGACGATCGGATGGTCGAAAACAAGCTCATGTGACGGTACACACGGTATTGTGTTACCTACACTAAAACGTTCCTGTTTTGGATGGCAACATGAAGTATTCAGGGAGGTACAATGAGTGGGAGAAAGGAGGTGGGGTGGTCTGGCTTGTTCTGTTTTACTGACGCATGTAGACTGGACTGATGTATACGGCGGCGTCAAAGGGAGACATCGGCGCACAAAGGAGACAACTTGTTGTCGTAAATAAGTTGCGATTCGTCGCCCGTGTTTGGGTAATAGAAATCAGGTCATCTGCCTGCAACATTTTCAGTGTTGTCTTTCCTTCTGTCTTTTCTCCTTTTACAACAGATTCTGAACATTTTATTAAAATCCACATTAAAAGATCCTGAAAAAAAATCTGAAGATGGGGAAAAAGAAAAACCTGAATTATGGGGTGAATACAGTCATATTCAGGTATTCAGGTTTTACTCCTATAGCTAGTCCTCTGCTTTTGCAATATCAGATTTTGTTTGTGGTATTTTAACCTTAACATTGTCCAAGAACCCCAAGGAAATAAATTGGTGAAACCTTACAGACATTGATAACTTACCTTTCTTTAGCCTGGCTACTATTTGCCTATTTTAGCTCCTAAGTCGGAGAGAATGTAGGATTTGGAAGATAAAAAATAGGTTTGGTTGCAAGGCTACCTTTCTTCACATTATAGTAATTACAGGCATGGATAACTTACCTTTCTTCACATTAGTATTATTCTTACACACATGGATAACTTACCTTTCTTCACATTAGTATGTCTCCTTACAGACATAGATAACTTACCTTTCTTCACTAAAGTATGTCTCCTTACAGACATGGATAACTGTAAAGTTACCTTTCTTCACATTAGTATGTCTCCTTACAGACATAGATAACTGTCTTACCTTTCTTCACTATAGTATGTCTCCTTACATACATGGATAACTTACCTTTCTTGACATTAGTATGTCTTGAGTAGAAGCCAGTTGTGGTGATCTTGGTGCCGACCTGCCCAGTCAGTCCGCGGGGGGTGCGAGGGGGGATGGGGATGTTCTTTTTTATGCTCCATACTTCATCAAGGTCAAAGTCAAAACCTACAGCAAAGACAACATAGATTGATCACATAACCAAAATTAGAGCTCAATATGCCTGCCATTATACTGAAAACAACTTATAGTACTGAGTAACCTGTGACATCTGTAATTCAAAACTTTGTGAAGAAGAGATTTTGTCTAACATTACTGAACCTTCAGTATACTACAGGACTGGTGTTCTTCAGTAAAAAATTAGCACTGATACACAGAGTTTACAGTTTATGACTATATTAAGCTATAAATGAACACTTGACTCCACTATTCAACCTTCTTCCTGCTGCCACAGCTTGTAACCTATACAAATATGGTACAACAGGTGGCCTCAGCTAGTAGCCTGGGCATCCCATCCCGGTTATAAGTTTACATTGTATGTCCACTCCAATAGTTGCTATTGGTGGGCAGGGACTATCAGAATGGAGGCAAACTACTAGCAACCAGCAGGATGGTATCCAGACTATATGCTAGTCTTCAGCATAACAAAGGTTAACCAGTACCCACCTGTAGGAATGGATCGTTTCCTGGGAGGGAAGTCAGGATGTGAGTCCTCGTCCTCCTCCGCTTGTCTGTTGGGACCTCGGTACAGGAACTTCTTGGTCGGACCTGCGGGCGGGGAACAAGTTTTCATTTATCAGTTTGTTTGTGTCATTTTAAAACATACAGCTTCATTGCAACAGCATCAAGTGTAATCAAAACGGCCACCTCTTCAAGCCAGCTACCTGGTAATAATATTTTTTTCCCAGTCTGCTATTTTTTTTCCTACAAGCTTAGGGAGCGAGTATAGGAGCCCTGGCATACAACCAGGATGGCACCCAGGCTATAGCTAAAGAATTAAGACCTGTCCAAGAAAACCACCTGTCCAAGAAAACCACCTGTCTAAAGAAGACTTCACCTTAATCTCTTGGCTGGCCTACTTACATGTAGGCAGGTTTGACTGTATACTAGTATTCATGTATTAAAAATATGTACTCATAGAACAAACCAAAACCTTGCTTGTCAATCTATAATTGGTAAACATGCTACATGCTTTTGTAGTTTGAAAATGTATAGAAATGAAGAAATGTGTTGCTTTTTTTAGTGTACAATTCCACAGTGGCTCCGTACATTTGTATTGCAAAATTTTCGAAACTCAAGACTGTCACTAGGCGACTGGCATTTCTCTTCTGAATTTCTCCCATTTCTTGTAACTTAATGCAATGCAAATATGGTATTTTGTACGTAATATTCACCACCACTGATATAAGCTGATCGTAAGGTCAACGTCCTTTTCTGTGTGCTTAACTTGTTCTACCAAATGTACAGCTCGTAGGTCGCAGGTCAAGTCAGGGGTCCATAAAGCGAGTCAATAGTAACCATGGCAACGGCACAAGCGCGCTCCAAACATCACACAGCACAATGGCTAATGATGTGGTCCGTGGGCCACTAATGCTCGAGTGGACTAACCTTTTCAGTCTTATCAAGGACCATGCCTGACAGTGGCAGAAAAGCTTGTTAGAAAGCTGTGTACTCTATGTGTACATTGTGTGTTCTTAGGGATTGGGCAGAAATACTGAAGTTTCTTGTTGGGAAATTAGTTTCTTCCTTTCAAAAATCTGTTGCAAGGATTTGGCTGTGCCTATATTGGAATCAAATGACCTTTCTTCAGAAATGTAACATCAAACTACAGAAATGTAACAACATCAAACTACAGAAATGTAACAACATCAAACTACAGAAATGTAACAACATCAAACTACAGAAATGTAACAACATCAAACTACAGAAATGTAACAACATCAAACTACCATAGTTCAGAAATCTCTATTCAAATAACCTCTGTTTTAGATAGGAGAGGAGTTTGACAGTTGTTAATGATATTTTCCAAAAATGGTTTAAATGTGGAATGATAGAACCAATTCACAACCAAAATTTACCAAATTGAATATTTTACTTTTTATACATGTCAAGTGTGTACCACACTAACATACACAGAGTCTACCTGTCAGGTATATACACTTTTCAACATACTTTCTGGTGCAGGAAAGACTTAACAGATGAAACCTTTACTGTTTAATGATAAGTGGGTTCAGAAGTTCACCTGATAATGATGTAACCTGATCCATGACCACCTGTTCATTGAGAGAAAGTGTGATTAAGTGATAATTTATGGGGGCTGAGGGAATAAAGGACGATATACGACCTAGAATTAACCACTTTCACTTAGGATTTTATATTTATACAACATGGTAACAGTGAATACCATACTGTTATTGGGAGGATGGTTGTAGACATTAGTACAAGACATATTTGTTCCTATCAATAAATTATTTGAGTTCAAAGCTATACATGTAATGGTACTAGTAATTGTGTTACGTCTAGATCTAATACTAGAAGAATTATAACACTTTAAACCAGTGCCAAGAGGGGTTAGGAACCGAGAACAACAAAAGATTTCTAACCCAGAGTCTGGTAAAACCAGGTTCTTAAAAAAGATTTGAATTTTTTTATGAAGCATGATATTGGTATATCTACTACATGTATATGTTTAACCCCAAAACAGGGTTCCTTGTACATGTCTAGAGTGCAATATCCTTACTAGTACAGTTATATCTTGGTCATTTGTTAAAATATTGTAGATCTATTCTTCTGTGAACCTCTATGTATTCAGCTGACAGCTAGTGAAAGTCAAGAGTCAATGTGGAACAATAGCTCTGAAAACTGAACTCCTGCCAAGGAGTCTTTCATTTCACTTTTTCCCACCACAGCTCCTACTAATAACATTCTCATCTACAATAGAAGTGTTTGTTTGTGTTTTAACTCTAGAATCCACGAGAATTCTGAAGCCAATGTCCATTTTGCAACCAAACCCGGACGCAACTCAAAGAAGATCACAACCCCATCAGTATTCACAATATCATCAATACAGACTGAGTACATTACAGTCAGAGGCCCAAACTAAATGCAGCACAAGACAATATTCACAGTGTACTAATTAATAGCCAATAAATCTATATTCCATACCTTTACTTTACAAAATGATATACTTCATTTTACCAAGCTCACATGGAAGAAGTTTCTGCCATTTGAGGGATTTCCAAGCACCTGTAAACATCATCATGACATTTTGTGTACATGCAGGTGTGCACAGTGCTATTTCCATTTCTCCTTCTTATCTTAACCACCTGGTCAAAGCTCAACCCCTGACCTACAGGTAAGATAAATGCCTCACCTTTCCTCTGTGCTGTTTTTTGTTCCATCAGCTCATTGTGTCAGACCCACAAACACCACGATTAGCACCCCCGGACCGACCCCACAGCCGCCCCTACCGTCCTACATACAACCACCTCGATGACTGTTTGATCGTTTGCTCTGTTTGCGGAGCGGTGGGTCAGAACACACAACTTTTTGCACGACCCCGTTATCGCGATTGCTGATTGGTTAGGCAGATAACCTTGTTGGTGGAGGAAGTGGCGTGTTGGGAGTCGACCAGATTTGTGTTGCCAGGCTGTTTTTAGGAGGCTTATGCTATGCCACATTATTACATTAGATGTACAATGTACCTAGATATAACTAAAAGCTGGGGGAAGAAACAAATTCTAGAAAAATGTGGGAGCTTGATTCTGGATTGAAGGCTTGATCTATGGTTTGTAGAATTGTTAAAGTTTGCAAAAGCAACAGTTTAAATTATACTTCTGTCTAGTTATAACTTTTTTTTAAAGACTGGGGGAAGAAACAAATTCTAGAAAAATGTGTCACATTGATTTTTGTACAGTTGCTACAGTTTGCAAAAAGCAACCATTTAATCATAAACTGGTTAAGTCCATCCATGGTCCATCATAATAGAAAAACTTGCTACAATATAAAATTCTACTCTCATTTATTGATTATGAGAAGAAAAGACTCCAGATGTCGTTTTGCCTGGTCCTGTTTTTTTGTGGCACTTTAAATTCAGTTTGCAAAAAACAACCATTCAAGATTGTTAAAACCCATTATAATACAAAAACGTGTTAAAATTTTGCTGTTGTTCATTATTGATTATGAGAAGAAAAGACTCCAGATGTTGTCTCGTCTGGTCCTATTTTTCTATACATGTAAATAATACAATGCAGTTGCATTATGCTTTTCCTATTCAGTATGATTCAGCTAGAGCTAAACCTCTCACATTGTAAAATTCTGCTCTCATTGTTGATTTTGAGAAGAAAAGACTCCAGATGTCGTTTTGTATGGTCCTATTTTTCTATACATGTATTTTTTTTGTAAAAAAAAAAAAAATACAATACAGTTGCATTACACTGTCCCAGGTATTCAGTACAATTCAGCTAGAGCTATTAAGACCTGAAAGTTGGGACAAACAAGATGAAACATCTGGTAAGAACAAATGTACAAATGTATCAATCAACTACCAGGTGGAATAGACAGGAACATGTGTACTTGGGACTGGAAGAATGTGCATTGCTTTGTCGTAGAGAGATTTAGATCTCATAAGGTATGCTAGTTTACCTCCTGGATTAAAGTTAAAAGCATTGAAGTATGTGTTACCTAGCAGCTAAGAACATTACAATAATAAATGGCAAATGGCAAAACGTTTCAGTCAAATCAAACTCAAAGATTCTATATGTTATATTCTAGGCATTATAAAAGTCAGAACTGAAAGAATCTAGCCTAAAACAATTGAAAGCAGTCTCTGCAAATTAAATGTTATTTGTCAAGTTATGAAAGTAGAGTCATAATGTTGTTTTTCAAATTACATATAGACATATGTCTATATGTAGCTTCATGGCTATGTAGCTTCATGTAGACCTGTCTACCTTCTAACATCAGATTTTCCTGACAATGCCTTGCAATGAATTGAACATGAGACTTTTCTTGAGAGATTGACAGATGACTACAACTGTCCAATGACAAATCACAAAATCAAACTAATAATACTACCGGGTATCACTGGAAAAATATAAACCAGGCCTGTTGATTTGCCAAAATTTTGCTGCTATGATGTACCAACTGCAACCTACTTCCATGACCAAATGGTACAATTCTATCTCTTTACCCACTGTCCATAGACATGTTATAGAGTAACCTTTGGTCAACATTCCGGACAACACAAACATCAGAGATACACAAGTCAAGTGTCCTGTATCCCAGCAGGAAAAACATGGACAGTATCTACATTAGGACAAGTTGGTTATTAAGTACTTAATCACCTGTTCACATAGCTACTACTGGTAAACAATTAGATGCAATTCTATATGATAGTATATTCAATATGCAAATGCCATTATATTTTACAATCATGCAGAAGCCTCATAAAAAGGCATGGCTTAAGGTTAACAATTAGATACAATTCTATATGCAAATGCCATATATTTTACAATTAGAAGCCTCATAAAAAGATGTCAGTGTGTTAACAGCACATCAATCTTTCTTCTTCTTCTCCATTTTCTAATTAATTTTTCTAATGAATTGATAAGAAGAATGTCAGAGGTTAAATTTTAATGCAATAAGACGAATCTACAGGTTCATTCCACATCCAGTTACTAGTACCTAATATTACATACGGGAATTGAAATACTGGATGCACATTGCACATGCACTACTCTTTTTGTGTAGGGTTAGGTAGCACTATT